GGCCAGGCAGGCGCACGCCGAGGCAGGTAAGGTGCCGTGGGGCCCTGGCTCTCCCCGCGGATGCCGCAAGGGCCTGGCGCCTCTTCTCTTCCACCCTCTGCCTCCTTCCCCCTCCTCTTCCAGCCTGCGCCCCCCGAGGGCTCCCCGCTGCACGGAGGCTCCTTTGGAGAGAGCCTGGCTGCGAGGGGGAGGACGGGCAGCAGCAGCGCGTGGGGTTATCAGCAAGCTTCTGGTTATGAGGTTAGCTTTCTGCTTATCAGGCTTTAGAAAAGGCACTGGCTGGCTCAAAGAAGCGAGTGATACGAAGTCTAGGATTTCTTGACATGGAAAAGTTTTTGTTTGGGGAGTAAGCGGAGAGGGCGGCCCGGGAGCGCCCCATCACCCTGGCAGGGTCCCTGCAAGGGACGTCTCGGAGAGCTGCTCACAGCGCTTGCAGCTGCGGTGCTGGGCGAGCTCTCCGGGGCTGCTCGAGGGCAGCTGCAGAGCCTCAGCCTGGCTTGGGATTGCCTAAAAGCCCCAGTGACCTTCTGCGAATGGGCTGGTTTCACTGACAGAGGGAAATGCCTCATCCTGCAAATAGTCTTATTGAGCAGGGCTATTTCGCAGCAGATTTCTTCTGCACCTGCCGATTGCCTCTTGCAGTTGCTCAGGATAAAACACCAATTTCCTTAGCATTTAATCTCCTTATATGTTAATTTAGTATGCTTTAATTAAAATACGTTCCCTGATCAAAGTGAATGAGTTGGAATAAACAAATCAGGATTGACTTTGGTGGTGTGATTTAAGCTGTGCAGAGTAATCAAACCTTGCAGCAAAATTAACAGGGCAAAGGCAGAAACAAACACAAAAAAGTTCATTGTCTAAGAAACCAGATACGTCTGAATGAGGGACATGTGGCGCTCCCAAAAGAACAGTTGAAAAGGGTTTCAGACCGTGCAGGAACAGGACAGAGGCAGTAACTTCTGAAAGACTAATATTTAAATTGTTCATCATCCACCAGTTTGAGCCACTCCCATTGTAAGAGCAAAGTTACCAATTTGAATTAGACTAAAGCGTTGCTAGAGGCTGTTGAAAAGATTTTTTTCATAAAAAGAGTGCGTTGCTGATGCATGTGATTAAACAATCTGAAAGAGGCATTTGTATTTATCAGATGTTCAAATCTAGCTCCATCTACGGCAGAGAGCTGAACAGGAAAAAAAAGAGGAGAGAGAGAACGGATCAAAATTCAGCAACCAAAAGAAATTAAGTGTGGCTGCAAATAAGCCCTTGAAATGAAGGAAAGGCAGAGAAAACCAAGCAAAGTGATCTCAGGCTCAGAGCAAGGTTTGCTGATAAGGCCTGCTGGGTGAATAGTTAAAATTATGGGCTAATCTCAATGTGAAGAGCTGCAATCTGTGGAGCAGGGCATCCTCTGACCTCAAACAGATTAATTCATTGCTTTACCTGTGGCGACGGTGACCCTCCTTGCTGGGCAGGGTGCCACGCTGAGGGTCCTGAGGCAGAAAATCCTCTCTCCAGCAAACGGGTGCAATATGGATTAATGTAGCTCTGGATATCCCGTTACTGCCCTTCCAGCTGTTTGTCCTTCCGTGATCTTTATGCCACAGAGCACAGGACAGCCGGATAGCAAAACCTACTGGAACACATAAAAACTAGGTCCCAACTGGCAGTGAAAAATCGGTGGTGTCCTTCTCAAAGTACAAAGACTTGCACTCAGAGCAGTGTAAATGAAGCAGCATGTTTCTGAGTGCCGTTCCCCGCATGCTCCTTTCGCTCCGTGCCAGTATGTTTCTCCCCTTCTCTGCGGACGGGCAGCACCGGGCCAGGAGCACCCCTTCGCTCCCCTCACCTGGAGCCCTCAGCACCGCGACGGGGCGAGCGAGGCAGGCAGGCCCTCCCGGGGGCCGCGTTTTGGGGTGGCTCCTGCAAACAGGGGGTTCCTGACCGGTTCTGCACAGGCAGGCAACGTAACATGCTAGAGAAGGCCTAGGGTTTGCTTGGAGTTTCTTTGCTATTTCCTTTTTCACCCATTCTGCCGGTTTCTTTTTTATTTCATCTATATTTAAAATGCTTTTTTTTTTTCCAACTGAATTACTTTTAAATCACATTTCGTTGGACAATGGCTTAGCAAATAAGCAGTGCTACTGGAGGGAAAATTAAAGGAGCTGTTTGGTAAAAGGGAAAGAAGCCTGGCTCCACACGCGCCCTTAGTGGGCTTGTGTTTGCTTAAAACATATCTCTATCCTAGAAAAAGATCT